AGAACGACATCCACTTACTTACTCGCTTTTTTAATATTAGTTATTTAATAGTAATGATATTTAATAATTATTAAACAAAAATTGTTTCTCTTGTATTTCATTGTTTAAGTTTTTACATATTTATTTCTAATACTATTTTGAGCATTTTATTTGGCTTGTATAAAATAACTTCAGTAAATAAAAATTTTAATCCAGGCAGAAATTTATCAATTATKCGGTTTTCAAATGTCTTCAACTATTTTTAGCATATTATATATGATTTATTCATTTATATTATGATTGTTTATAAAAATAAAAATTTATTTACAAAGAAATAAAAGTAAAAAAAAWAAATAATATATTGCTTATTATTAAATATGAACGATTTCGGCTGAAACATTAGTCTGAGTTGACCAACTATCATTTTTCGGAGGTGCAATTTGAATTTGACCATACGTTCCTGCTACTACTTGTTTTTGGGAGTTATGTTTGACTAACTGTCCAACGTTGATAACCAWACAACCCTCAACCACCTGAAATAAAATAATTACTTAATCAAAAATTTATGTAAATTAGTTTTATGAATTACGTTTACAATTTCAAGTAAAAAAAAAAATAATATTTATTATATATTTAACATTAATAATTATTACTCGTATAAATGTTCGGAGTTGAGAAGATGTCAATATAATGTGCGGAGTGTTTTGCTGCAATGTACAATGTTCTAACCACAGTAGGTGGTCCACAGGAACATTAGGGTTAGCAATGTATGAAGGATGCAAACATCGTTGCCATATAATTTGTTTGACTAGTTTAGTAAACATTTCTTCTCTATAGAAAAAAAAATAAAAATTAGAACACACAATGATGAACTTATCTACTAACATTTTTCTAGTTTAAAATGTGAATTATACAAAAATTAAATTTTATAATTCCAGTTATGATTTAGGGACATATTCTGTATGTAAAATACTGACCACATAAATGCTAGTGAACTCACTTAGTTTGGTTAATTGCTGAAACGTGTAGACCCATAAGAGAATCACTCGCGTTACCGGCAATTATTATGTCATTGACAGAAAACACACTTGGATCAGACACCATATAAACGTTGTTGGGATATAAATTTGGCAAGCTCGAATCAAAATTTGGAGGAGTTGGATAGAAAGCATAATTTTCAGAATCTTTCCACGAACTAAATACTAATAATTTTATGTTTTGAGTTGCTGGATTGCTAGGATTAGATAAAAATACAGTAAAATTAATTGTCTGTGTATATAAATGTATACATGTAACTAGTTACAAACCTAAATAACGGTTTCAATATAGCTTCTAACACTTCGTCATAGCATTTTTGAATATCTTCCGATGTTGTTTTGTTCAGCTGCGTCCCGAAATCTGCATCAAATATTGGGCCTAACAATATCAGCAACTGTGCTTCAAACTCAATTGTTTTTTGTACCAGAGATTTCAACAACTTTCCATGAGGAGAYAACTCGCTAAAAAACGGTCCGGCGGCAACCATTAAGTTTAGATTACCTATAAGAAGTAATTTACATCACAAAATATTTTCATAWGTTTTAAATCATTAATGCAAATGGCTGTATAATTGCATGGAAATATATATTAATAACAACAACCTTTTGAAAAGCTCGGTAATTTATTTGACAACGGCAGTGAAGCATCAGCATAAAATTGTTTGACTTTGAAAACTTTAGTATCCGGATTGGTCCCGGTAATAACAATAATCTGGTTCACAAACAATGACTTTAATGGYTGTTCAGCTTCAGATAAATCGAGTTTTATAAAACCATGCAGGGAATCGAGAAACAATTCTTTTTTAATTAATCGCAAACTACCAGATATCGTTATTTGTGTCTGAAATATAAAATAATGTAAATCAACAATCATTAATTATTATAATTCAAACAACACATCGTTATTATTGTTATAGATAATAATATTATATAGCTCCATTTAAGTACACAATATAAAAAATAACACACATAAACATATAAACTACTTTTTCTCGTACTAGGAGAGTACAATTTTTTTTTATTATTTTTCCCATTTGAGCACTGCAGTATGTCAGTTATTTTTAAACAATACTTACATATACACAGGTTGGTTCTATCTCCAAAAATACTAACCATTTCTTAAGAGAACGCCACACCCGCATGTGTTGTCTTCGTCTTTCAAGTGCGTAACATGGAAAATTTTATGCTCAGCAGTTCCAATTTAGCTCCGTTAGTTTACARCTTAKMGTAAATTGACCTCTTATAAGAATTAAAGGTAACATTATTATYTAGGTTTTCACTGAGGCTTTTTATTATATTTCAATTTTGAAGCGAGTTATGAGTATTTTAAGATATACAAGCAATTCACAGTTTTAAAAATACTCATAAGTTGCTTCAAAATTGAAATATAATAAAAAGCCTCTGTGAAAACCTAGATAATAATGTTACCTTTAATTTATATAAGAGGTCAATTTACTCTAAGTTGTAAACTAACGGAGCTAAATTGGAACTGCTGAGCATAAAATTTGCCATGTTACGYACTTGAAAGACGAAGACAACACATGCGGGTGTGGCGTCCTCTTAAATAAGCCTTTTAAAAGTATCTTTTGTTTGCATATAATTTGAAGTATACATAAAACAGTATTTTTTTACTACTTTATCATTACAATTTTTATATTTTTAATTATTTTAATGACAATATCTTTTTATTTCATATATTGGAGAATAATTTATTTCATAGTATTTCAATACATAAATACCGAATTTCAAACGAGTAGTTATATAATTAGGTCATATCATTTTCCAAGTTATAAGCATGAGTTACGTATCTGCATAGAAATATTCAGAAATATATTATTTTGATTCGGAACATGAAATCAAAAATATTATAACATATTATATGATGTCATTCAAAAAACAAAATGATAACGATAATACCTAAATAATAAAAATATTATTATTATCAAACATTCTGTTTTGAAATAATTTCAAATAATATCGAAAAATATTTTCAAGATAATAAATAATAACTRTAAAAAGAAGCACACATACACAGTATATATAAGTGTACCTACAAATGTACTTATAATGTACGAATTTATAGTTTATATCCTACAGAAGTACATAGTTTGTACTTACGTCGTTTCCGCAGTACAATCCAGATAATGATGTTACAGGTTTAAGGTTATTCTTCCGAACGATATCGTCCACTAAATCCTGGACATGATCGTCAAATTTTTGATAATTAACATGACCAAATATAAAATTGTCCCATAAATCGTGTTTCATTAAGCACACTGTTTCTACCTTGGCCAACGAATCATTTTTGTTAACATTTCCTAGGCCAAAATTGCATGTGACATCTCCAGCAGTAGAAATCTCATTTTCTCTAAATTATAATAACAATATTAATCGTGGATCTAWATTTCGTTAGGTTAGAAATTAAGATTCATCACGGAGTTACATCGTTAAGTATACTGTAAATATGACGTGTACAAAATTATACTCTACATATTTCCAACTATACGCATATACGAAGTTTCTTTCGAGATTACCTGTTTAATATGTTTATTAATCAAAATAAGTCCTTCGTGAAAATAAACCAACATTTCAACAAAACAATAGTAAAACATAATTATGACACATTTTATAATGCCCAGGTCCTTATTTATAATACCTTATCATAGTAATAAATAGTAATTTAATATGGATACGGGTTAAGTATATCATAAAATGAACACTTGTACAAAGGTAGTGTCCGTGAACTACCTTGAGTATCATCAATAGACAGGTGTAATGTACTGCACAAGTCAATTAGAGCAACCGATGAACATAATATATAGATTGTCTTTTAGAGGTTGACACCACTACGCCAGGTGCTTGTATACAATAATTATTAGGTCATAAAAAGCAACTGTGAAGTAAAAATACTAAATAGGTTAACTAAACTTGAAATGTCTACTATATGACTATAGTTCTAATATTTTTTGAATGACGAAAGATAAATAATTATTTTAAATGTAAATAATACATATGAAGTTAAAAACACAAAAAATTGTAATGAATTAATAATATTGTTATTTAATACTTAAGGTTTGATGTGATTTAATGTGATACAAGATTGGATATAAGGTCACATTACTTTTTTTTATGACCAAAATACAATTTTTTTGACATTTTAAACGTTGAGTAAAAATTTTTTACCAACCGATTTTAGTTAATTATTGTTTGCACAATTATTATGTGTTTAATGAGTGGAGGTGTACATATTTTGTAATTGTGGTTACAATTTATAGTAATCTGCATAGCTTATGTTCCGTATTAGAAACATTAAAAACTGCAACAGCTATCCTTTCCGAAAAAGCTGACACATGTTTAATGACAGGCTTCAGAACTACGATTAATTGCAGTAAACAAAATATTATGTTTCAATTTGCTATAAAAGCGATTTATCGCTAAATCGTAAAAATGTAACATGCGAATGACTTAATGATTTAACAAAGTTAAATTAAAAAAATTACTCGTTTTAATWTTGATTTAGATAAATTCACATTTTTAGAAAAATGTTCATCTAAATAAATTACAACAGAAAATGGAGAATTTTAGGCAATTTCATCACTTGAAAAACAGAAGTACTTATATCTACATATGACACACCTTAACTAGGTAGTACAAAAATCTTTAGAATTTAAAATGTGGCATTTAAGTATATTTAAAATTTTCAAGAATCAGATTTCGAATAACTGCATTATTGAAAAAAAGAGGGTAAGTTAGCATGCTAGGTAAATCATCAGTCTGCAGATAAACAGTTCAAAACAGCTTCGGATCTATAAACTGCAAGAAAATCTTATAAAGAATCTGGCTTAGCAATTTCAAATTCAAACAAAGTACATACATTTGTGTTTCATTTTACCGACGTATAATCACACTCTTATAATACAATATATTATGTATACGAGTGTACGTGAATATTATACACATTTACAACGGAAAATATTTAGTGCGACACTTACCATGAATAAGTAATATTTAATAGTTATTATCCAAGCAACTAATTAACATTAAATGAGATACAATAACTGAAGCTTTGATGTACTCTAATGTTTCTAACCAAATTAAATTATAAATTTTCCAACACGCATTTCTTAAAATTATTATTAGTACTTAGTAGTAGTAAGAGTTATATACTACTTGTACTGATATATTTTGTACAAATGTTGATATTTATATAGTTATATATAGCCGACTCGGTTCGCCTTCTACGTATACATGGACGGGCAATAGCTAGGATATCGGACCAACAGAATAATTTAAATATTAAAATAACATAAAACCAAAATACTTAAATGAACAACAATAACATAAGATCGTAACTAAAATAAAATTATACATACTCTTTTAAATCATCTCCGTCAATAACGTCGGATACTTTGAATTCATTTTCGATTTGTATAATATTGGTTCCAAGTGTACTCTGAAACGTAACAAGCATATTTGTCAATTCAACATAATCTGATTTTCAAAAAGTATAAATCGAATATTATTATTATAAAAAACACAAAGGTTCAAGTATATAAAAAGAATAAAAATTATAATATCATTCAATGCTTGTATTATTTAGAAAAGTATTCAATTTGGTAGGCAAATAAAGACATAGGACTATGACGTGTCATAMTAGTATAATACTACAACTGATATTTATCTTTTTTAGGTAAAGTGTTACGGATAAATCATAGTATTGAACCGTTAAATCAGGTATTCACGTCTTTCAAAATATATTAGTTTATTTATACAAATTAAAATTTGTTTACAAAACATAAATGATGTAAGTAAAGTTTCTAAATCGTCAAAAAAAAATGTATTCATTCATTAATCTCAATTTTAAAGATGACGACATTTAAGTTATTACAAAATTAAATTAAGCTCAGTGGAAGGAATGACGCATTTTTTACATTTATTTTTAATCTGTGTTTTATAATAATCTAATGCCCGTAGTCTGTAGTACCTACCTATTCAAATATACACATAAAAATTATTTTAAAAATAAGAAAAGACAATTTTAAACTGTAGTAATCATTTATGGTATGCACAAATTATATGATTTAGAAGTCGCATCTTATTCTACGGTTTTATAGGAACGCACAAKTGTACTGTATATCTGTGATTTCTAAAATATCTGTTTTCCATGCTAAAATCTTTACGAGTATTCTTAATTTATTCACTAATAAAAGCTATAACATAAAATGTTTTAAAAAATAAAAACCAATCAGATAATTTTTGATTATAATATAMAAGCGATAAAAACCTCGTTTAAMACGCACAAGTTCAACATACTCATAAATTATAGTTTTATAATCCTTGTGAATCTTACAAAATAATAAATATCAAGTTTCTTTTACTAGAAATTAATATTATTAATATAATAACAAAGAACAATTAATAAATGCGCGAATTTATCATTGAATGATATTTATCATGTCCTTAATATGATTCGTTTTGCAGAGGGATAATAAGGGAACACATCAAATAGTTAAATTAAATCAAAACCAGTTGATTCAATAAACAGTATTTTTTAAATTATATCATAGGCGGTAGTATTGTGATAATTGGTCGAATTGATTCTGCAAGAATAAATGTTAACTTTTAACGAACATAGCGTGTATATCTCACAGCTGTTGAAGATCGTTAACGAATGAGAAAATATTTTAATTATTATTATTTAAATGTCGTACGGCGTAGTACTTGTCAAATGTTAAATGATTGTATTTCATATGCAGTCTTCAGAACCATTGGATGAATACGATGAAAAAAATTGAACATTCTTCGAGCTTAAAAAAACTTTATAAAAAATAAAAAAATATGTATAAGGCAACCTATCTTATTTAAGTTTCAAATCAATCTTAATTACAACCAACTATTCTATATAGAAATGTTTTAAACAATAATATATTTATAAAGATAATCCTGGCTACCAAGCAGATAGTTATCACCAGTTTCTGGTTACAGAGATTATTTAGTAAACATAATATTTATTATATTATTGATATTATTTAAACGCACTGAACCAAATAATAACAAAGCTGTCCAGTAATAATCATTCCGATTTCTTACTTCTAAACTTGTAAATTCATTTATATACATAGCTRCATAATGTTTTAATACCAAACATAGGCTTGCGCAGGAATTTTCATAGGGCGTGCAGAATTATTTTAGTAGGGGTTACTTGAGCTAAATTCAGTAAGATAAAATATATTGTTTCTATATAATAACAGTTATTTCATAATAATTTAAAATATTTTAGACGCTGTTTTATTGATAATGAAAATAAAGAATATTAGATCTAAATTTAATATTATTATTGACAATTGTTTAAAATGAAAATTTTGCAAGGTGTACTGTAACACGTTCTACACGCCCATGATACCAAATGTTGCAGACCAAAATAACTTATACAAATCATTATAACCTTATATATTCAAATATATCTCTATACATTATAATTTATAATAAAATTGAATAGCGAATATTAATCAATAACCATTATATAACTGACCATCAGCTTTATTAAATTGATATTTATTTTTTTTCTTATTATTTAACGACAATAACAATAACGAAAATACCATATGGTATTTTATACTTTGGTATTAATTGCAACGAATCAGTTCATTTCATCAAGAGTATTTTAGAGCTAGTAGACACTAAAAATAATCACAAGTCTTAGCATTTGAACTWATTAAGATACTTTATAGRGATTTGTAAGTTTTTAATCTACATAGTAAGATACAATTATATAATAATTTGGAAAATTTTTATTTATTTTTATTATTTTACTAGGATTATTGACAGTAATTTACTGTTATCTTCATTCATTTATTTCTGTTTCTCTGTTTCTATTTCTTGATTTTGTAGTCTAAAKAATGTCAAATGAACTTTAATTTCATAATGCATATACGATTATTATATTCTTATCAGACGATTTAGTGACTAGGTATGATGGAATCATATCTTTTTTGTTTTGTGAACGACAAATTAGATTCAGATTCTTTTCGCTAATTTGTAAACATTAAATTAATAATAATAATAATAATATTTAAACAATTTAACAATACAACAGTATAAAACAACATTAATAAAAACACAAAACTTTTTATTTTACAATTCCGTTATGTTAAAATTTTAGTAGTGTAAATTTAAAAGGAAAATTTGATAACACAAATAATAATTCAGATAAGATACTAACTAATATTTATAGAGAACAAAATCGTAGCATTAAATTACGAAAATAACCATGTATAAATAAGTTGGGAATTATTCCCCACAATGTACGTGTATTACGTACATACAATGGTATATTTTTAGTTTACGCATGAAACCAAAACGTATACGAGACGATATTATGTATGAGACACAACACATTACGTAATAAATATAAATGTACAATTTATACAAAAATCTAAATTCACGAAATTTTTGTATACAAAAAAAAAAACATTCACATAATAATTGTAACGAAATACCAAAGTATAATATAATAATAAGTTATACAACAACATGTAGCGTATAACCAATTATTTTACAGCAGACTGACCGCAAAAAAATAAACTTGATGCACGTAAGTCGTCACGAAACAGGTAAGCAGTTGATGAGTGTAGATCTAGTCACAACTTTGAATATTCAGTGTCTCCTAGAAATACACTCACGGACCGTCTAACCATTGTAGATTACGCATCGTTTACATCGCAGTCACACGCTGGGCGGCAGTATGCATTCGTGAAAAACAAAATCCGTTTAWATCACGCACGCACATAAATACATRTTAATATATAGTAATTCAATGAATTTACACGCTACGAAAAAATGGGTTTTACCAAAGACTCGGTTCTTGAGAAAACGACTTCACACGCCAACTTACCGTACCGGTCGAGATTGGTGTATAAATACAAAAGGAAACAAAATAAAAAATTACGAAAGCTACAAGTGTACAACGATTATAGGTAATACAATTTCTACACATTTTGAAGTAATAATAGCACCTACTAGTCCTACTATTAAAATAAGTAAATCGATCCACGCGGGTCGTACCGGTTAAAATGGCCCRCGCAATTACCGACACGCATACGGCGAAGCTTTATGTTGGGTTAGTGAAAAAAAAATKTTAAAAAAGCAATTTAATAATAATTGAATCCAGCGGGAAAAGAATAGAAATAAAACGACGCCGCGATGATTTAGGTTTCGGTTTACCGACTATATCGAGATATGTACCGTAGAACGTTGAGGACTATTGACCGGTTAACCGGAAAAAATTCTGAATCGGATTTGAACAAAAAAAAATGTATGTGAAAAGAGAGCGGCCGCGGCCTCTCGTTCGTTAAATGCGTATGATAATGTGATGTGCGCGCGTCGCGTACTGTGGCGAACGATTGCCGGTGTGGAAAGAGCTATTACGTGTGTGCGTCGCACGAGTTAAATAACAACAAACAACGTTCTACTTTCCCTCCACAAACGACAATTATTATTATTAAAATTATATTACAGACTGGCGAGCGTGGCGAATGGGCGGCGATTACGAAACGTACAGGCCAAAGGGGGAAATAATAATAATTACTGCTTGATCAATGGGGAGGGAGGGGAAATGCGGCGTCATGTTTTCAAAAATTAAAAAGCTGCTTGGCGCGAGTATTCGACGAGACCGCCCAAAACGGTAAGGGAAAAAAGTTAGTCATCTTGAAACGGGCAAAACGAGATCGGCCGGGAAAAGAGAAAATGTATAGTGCGTTTACCGTTAGAAGAGACGTGCAGTGTTCCAGAAACAGCAGCGTAGACGACRACACGAACCAGGTACCGACGTGTAAATGAAATACAATCTACAGAGTACAGACTAGACTACGGGCCGCAGAGGTGCTGACGCCAAACGGCCAACCGGCGGCGTTGACGGAGGGAATTGACGCTGCCACTGGAAGGAGTAGTTACAATTGCGCGCGCGCGAACGCGCTCACTCGGCCGAGCAGGATGAAACACAACCGACTCTCCACGGCGTTTTGGCCTTGAACGATACACATATACACACACACGCACGAGAGCGCGCAAAGACGGCAACACACGCGGTATAAAGGTATAGGAGAAAAAACCGACCGTACGACCGACCAATCGGGTGACGATAAGGGGACCGCCGCGCGAATGCCGTCAGGTAAGATGCGGCGGCAACCGGTGGATTCCAGTCGGCTTTCCAGCATAATAATAATAATAATATAATACGTTATTGTAAGCAAGCGCGCGCGCACGCGTACACGCGTTCACACACACACACAACACACGCACGCACGCACTCACACACACACACCCGTCATAGTGTATCCTATTCTACGCACACGTTATTCTCACGATACACCAAAATCAAAATACCGAAGTATCTATCACGAGTATTTATGACTGTATTATACAATTGTTATTATTTGGCTGATTGTCCGGTCA